CCCACTTTCGCCTCTTTTGAGAATTTTTTGCATAACTTTTCAACTCTAATATTTTCAGGAAAAAGTTAAAGGAAAAAAAAATATTTTGTGGAAAAAGTTATGTAAAGGAATATTTCCCATATTTTACAAGACTGACAAATTAAATGTAATCCTGACAAATCTAGTTCAGTATATACATCTTCCTCGCAAGTTGCAAACAAAAGGAAAAAAATCAATACGATATTCTTCCATAATTAATCAGAATATTCCAGACTTCATATCATGTTAACCAACTGAATTAAAATTAGCCTTATCCAATATGAGGAACTAACTTTAACTTGGTTTGTAACGAAAGTGTATTTAACAAGAAGTTGCAAATAAAAATATTGCTTTTCTTCTTTTTCCTTACTTTTGAGGAAAGGGGCTTTTGTTGAGCTAAATTTCTACCTAAATCGGAAAATTGCTAATATTATCTTAAAGTATATAGTCGAATATTCCAAATATGAGAAGAATCGATGGCTCAATCTCAAGGTAGTTGGAGTGTCTATATAAATTTTCACCATCCATGTCCCTCCATTTAAACTTGTCTCCATGTAATATTATAATAAATATATGAAACATTTTGGAGGATTGAAATACACAGGAGAACAAATTAGGCACAAACAAAAAATTCAGCAAAAGTTATATAGAAAAAATTTATTAAAGTATGGAGAGAATGTGGTAGGAGGCTTTTAATTTTCACAACTCATAAACTCTTGAATCTCTCTACATCGTAACTATCTCTCCACAATAGAAAATATGTAATAGCACCCCTATTTATAATACTACAAAATCAAATTTGACTAGAATCTAGAAAATCTATTCCTACATGATTTTGGTTGTGAATCCTAGTTAGACATAAATTAAATAAACTAGCAATTACGAAATCCTAGACAACTTAGGAATACTAATAAATCTTGGTTTAATTTCCAACAGCCTCCCTTAAACCAAGATCTTCAAAAATGAGCATGCCATGAGTAACATCAAGCCTTGTAGAAGTCAAGTACCTTAGACTCTTCAACAATTTCCTAAAATATGCAGTATCAATAAAATCACGAGTGCCATCTTTAGTCAACTTCAATTTATCTTGAATATTGCTCATATATGATTTGTCTTTACTCATGTTAAATCCCTTCAAAATATCATCAATATAATTTTCCTTTACTTTAAAATCATCTAATTCTCAATTTGCCTTGTAGTTGGACTTGTACACCCATTCAACACCAATTGAATTTTCTATAGGTTGCAGAGTAATGCCACCAATAGATATATCATCTTGCTCCTTGAAACATATAATCTCGAAAAATGACACAAAATTTATTTCATCTTCAATATCTATAATCATGTATTGTAGTTTTGGATCCCAAGCTATTTTTGCCCCAATCTTGTGCAGATCATCAGATACTTTCTCTTGATGAACCATCTTGCTTTTTTCGTTAATAGGTCATCTTCAATACTATCAAATAACTTTTCAGGTGAAACATCAACATCTTTTGGACGAACGTCCCTTGCAACCAAATCTCCCTTTTTTAACAACCGGAGAAATTTTTGGCAGATTAATTTGAATATTATTTGAGTTCTCTTCGTTTTCAATGGAATCTCTTTCACAACATAAATTACATGTACCTTCTTTTCTTTTTCTCCTCTATTTTTGAATTTTGGTCTTCTTGATTTATTTTCGTCATCTTTGATGTGTCTTCTTTTTCGCTTGTTTGGTAATCCTTTTCTTGTGACGCCTCCTCCATTGTCTCATATTTTTGTTGATTCAGTGATCTCTCATATGTCACCAACTCACCTTCTAAATCATCAAGTCCGATAGTGCTAACATCTTTGGTAGCCGTAAGAATAACTTTCTTGTTGTTAAACTTTAAATTGAGAGACTACAATATTTTCTCAACAATTTTAACTTCTTCCAATACTTCTCCACTGGTCCTTAGACCATTGACTATTTCTTCAATTCTCGTAAAAAATTCTTTGACAGACTCTATTGGTCTCATATAAGCTAACTCAATTGACTCCTAAACTCTTATAGTTTCTCTTTCTTTATGTCAGCAACTTTTCGATATGACTTTACCAAAATTGTCCAAGGCTCCTTTGATGACTATGCATACAAATATTTTTTAGATACATGCAATTCGACCTTAATGGCGAGATAGTAGCGTGCCTTATAATCTAAATGTCTTTTCTTCTCCAATTTCGTAGCTACATCACCCGCCAACGTTGTGCCTTTTGGGGGTTCCTCAAATCCTTCATCAATGGTGGACCATAATTCAATAACCTTAAAAAAATTCTTCATATGTTGATAAATTTCAAAATTGTTTTTGCCATCAAACACAAAAACGGGACAATCGGGTAATAGAGTATCCATAATTTTTTTGTTTGGATCTCTTACTGGCTCTGACAGAATCTCACACATGCTCTGATACCAATTTGAAGGATTGAAATACCCCGAAGAACAATTTAGGCACAAGCAAAACATTCAACAAAAGCTATATAAAAGAAATTTATTAAACCAGAAAGAAAACGTCGTAGGAAGCTTTTTCACAACTTATAAACTCTTGAATCTCTCTACATCATAACTATCTCTCCATAGAAAATATGTAATAGCACCCCTATTTATAATACTACAAAACCAAATTTGACTAGAATCTAGAAAACCTATTCCTACATGATTTTGGCTGTGAATCCTAATTAGACATAAATTAAATGAATTAGTAAATACCAAATCCTAGACAACTTAGGAATACTAATTAATCTTAGTTTAATTTCGAACACATTTTAATATTTATATTGCACCCTGTATATTTCATATACCCACTTAGAGCAACAATAAAATTCTCTTCGTGTGACCTATACGTCATGGGTTTGAGCCGTGGAAGCAACGACAAATCAAGAATTTTAGTTCTATGATCCAACATTTAAAAATATGGGTTCATATCTTCTGTTATTGCAACTTTAGTGATTACTTACACATAAATTTATGTTCCGCGTTAAATCTGGGTTCAGTTGAATCCAGTAGTTATATGTTGCATCCGCCCCACGCGGAAGCTGCCACTAATGCTTGCATTATGATAAGTTATCTACACCACACCCTTTTTTCAGATCCTGTGTGAATATAAAACGTTTTTTTGCACCGAACTGCCCTATTTTTATAGAAGTATTATTCATATACCCCAATGAACCAAACAACCAAACATATAGAAATAAAAGTATATGATGAAATAATTTTGTCATTATTTAATCCCTGTATTATAATTCTCGTATAACTTATTTACGACCCAAATGAACCCTTTAAAGTTAGTGGTTATTGATGCAACCAGAAAACTTGTTTTAGCAATATCCTTGAGCAATGCGCCAAGATATATACAGAGTTTTCACTGTGATTAGAGATTATCAATGTCAAATTCATAAGGAGTAATGACTTCCTGACCACTTAAATTTGTAGGGCTTTTGAAAGTCGATACACGAACTTTGGATTTTCTGATTTGAACACTCTAACTTGACAAAATGGGTACTAATAAACACATCCAGCAGATCGTGTATATCAATTGCCCTGACATGTACAACACATCATGATAAGCTATTTATTACTTGCCATGTGTTATTTGTGGGTCCCATTTTTAAATACAAAAAAAGAAGAAGTTACAAATACAAAAAAGGAAAAGAAAAAAAAAACGCCTGAAACATACCCAATATTAATCTGTACGCAACCGCCCCCTTCTTCTTCGTTCACCCTCCTCCCTTCCTTTCTTTACTCTTCTTTCTTCTCCTTTCTCTTTTTCTTCATTATTCTTTCTCTCTTATTTCTAAATCAAATTCACAACATCACCATGGCCATGA